AGGCTGCCTTGCATAGGAGAAGGAAAAATGGGATGTGGAAATGCGCACATTGCTGTCTGTGTGATTTTTCTTTTGTGTGGTCTTTGGTTTCAGAGCACCTGGTCACTCTGCTGGAGGGCACACCTGGGTAGCTTTGGGTCAGTCAGGTGCTTGTACTGGTTAATGTGTTTTGTTCGCTTGCAGTAGCAGTTGTTACAGCTCTATTGCATCTCCATCACAAAGCCAGGGGTACTTACGTTAATTCAGCTGAGTTAAAACTGCTTAGGTGATAATCTAAAAATAAAAAAAAAGGGAACCTTCCTTGTTTAGGATCTTTGGGAAAAATGTAATAAATCTTTTCCCTTTATCTTAAGGTAAGAAGAGCCAGAATCACCAAAAGGAATCTTCTAGAGAACATTTAAAGGATTTTGAATTAATTCTGGCTCATCTAATCATGGCTATTACTCCCAGAGTCTTCAGCAAGTCTTAAAATATTTCTCGTTTTCTATCACTACAGAGTTGGGGAACTAATACAAAATTTTTATACTGGATCTTAAAACTACAACTGGCTTTTATATTGTGTCTGAATAAATTGTATAGAGATAAAATACATTTGCTTTTTTTGCTCAACTTAAATCTTTATTCATGCCTTAAGACATGTTTGAATAATTTATTTGCCAAGTTAATATACTGCATGCGTTTTGCAGAGGGTGGCTTTCTGAAAATGCATTTTATTCTACCTGCAGTCTGGCAAGAATCAAGAAGGTGAATTAAGGATGATGAGTACAGATTTCAGTAAAATCAGGGAAAACGATGGTGGACTGACTGGGTGGGAAGCAATGCCCGTCTGCTCTATTGAGAAAAATAATTGGCATCTACTGGAAATAAGTTTAATTATATTCCTTTCTGTTTTTTAAGAGATGAAATTGGATTAATACCCTGCCCTGAAGCCAGGTATAACCGGAGCCCTATCGTCCTGGTAGAAAACAAGCTTGGTGTGGAGAGCTGGTGTGTCAAGTTTCTTTTGCCATATGTCCACAATAAACTTCTCCTCTACAGACAAAGAAAACAATGGCTGAATAAAGATGGTAAGTTACCCGGTTGGAGAATAGTATCTTCTGTGATTCTTAATGCACTTTTTTTATTTATCATAGAATCATTTAGATTGGAAAAAGCTTGTAAGATCATCGAGTCCAACCGTAAACCTAACACTGCCAAGTCCACCACTAAACGATGTCCCTAAGCACCGCATCTACATGTCTTTTAAATACCTCCAGGGATGGGGACTCAACCACTTCCCTGGGCAACCGGTTCTAATGCTTGACAACCCTTTCAGTGAAGAAATTTTTGCTAATATCCAGTCTAAACCTCCCCTGGCGCAACTTGAGGCCGTTTCCTCTTGTCCTGTCACTTGCTACTTGGCTGAAGAGACCGACCCCCACCTCCTTTCAGGTAGTTGTAGAGAGTGATAAGGTCTCCCCTGAGTCTCCTTTTCTTCAGGCTAAACAACCTCAGTTCCCTCAGCCGCTCCTCATAAGACTTGTGCTCCAGACCCTTCACCAGCCTCATTGCCCTTCTTTGGACACACTCCAGCACCTCCATGTCCTTCTTGTAGTGAGGGGCCCAAAACTGAACACAGTACTCGAGGTGCAGCCTCACCAATGCTGAGTACAGGGGGACAATCACTTCCCTGGTCCTGCTGGCCACACTATTCCTGATACAAGCCAGGATGCCATTGGCCCTCTTGGCCACCTGGGCACACTGCTGGCTCATATTCAGCCAGCTTTTGACCAGCATCCCCAGGTCCTTTTCTGCTGGGCAGCTCTCCAGCCACTCTTCCCCAAGCCTGTAGCGTTGCATGGGGTTGTTGTGACCCAAGTGCAGGACCTGGCACTGAGCCTTGTTGAACCTCATACAGTTGGCCTTGGCCCATTGATCCAGCCTGGCCTGGTCCTTCTTGTAAAGCCTTCCTACCCTCCAGCAGATTGACACTTCCACCCAGCTTGGTGTCATCTGCAAACTTACTGAGGGTGCACTTGATCCCCTTGTCCAGATCATTTACCTTTTTTGACACTCCACTGGCCCTTCTTAAAGCCAGTTTAACCTGTTCTGAAAGAACTGACTATTACTGGCAGGGAGGGCAGGCTTTGGATTGTGCATCTTGGCAACCTAAACAACTTTGCTTGTTTAGTTGTTTGGGTTTGCTCGTTTGGGTTGCTTAGTTGAAAATGTAAATCCTTTCTCTCTTGCCCAAGCTCGAAGGGTTAGAGGGAGATGGCTTATTTCAGTGAGTGATTTAGGGAAGTGATGTTAATCTTTACAGAAGGAATTTCATCCTGCTTTCCTGAGTCTGAAGGAAAACTGTGGTGATGCGTGGATCTAAAGTAAGAAACAAGTGCAGTGTTTTTCAGATATAGGGGTACCAGAAATCATTAGTCCATACAGCTTGGTAATTACAAAGCTTTACTTCCTGTTTCATCTTTTTGTTTTGGTTTGGGTTTTAGTTTGTTTTACTTGCATGAAAAATATTTTAGTATATGTTGTCTATTTTTAATTTTTTTAAAGAATTATAAATAGGTGTGACATGGGAGATACTTGACTGCTTACAAAGCATCCTGTTCAGAGTAAGATGAAAAAGGGTAACTGTAGTTTAAGAAACTAATTTTTTTGTTCATGGTTTCAGGTCTTCTAAATAGCAGTCAGCATGAAAGATGTTCTTACTCTAGGCTTATCTCAGTGTCTTATTTCTGGTGTTTATTCATATTCTTTTTGAAGCTTCTTTCTACTATCCTTTACCTGCTATGGCATTTTTCATGTTTTTGTGTCCCAGGAAGAGGGATATCTTTTTTCTGTTGAAGTGTTCTCTGACCACTTACAGAGTTCAGATCACAGAGTTCAGATCCTTAGCATATCATATGCACCTGGGTTTCAGTTTGGGGCTGTTACCATACTTTAATTTTTTTCTGTTTCCATGAAACTAACCTAATCCATAAAGCACTGGCTGTGTCCATTGTGATTTAAAATTACCATCTCGACTGTCTTCCCCTCCTGGAACATACCCAACAGCCACCATCCATTGGGTTGTGTTGATTGCAACTATAGCAAAGGCAGTCTCCCTGGTTCCTTGATGAACTAGTGAATTAAATAATTATGTTTTAAATAGTGGGATGCTAGCAGACATCTGATGCAGGCTCTAGCATCTAGTCATCATATAACTAACATGCTGTACCATCTTGAACGGATAGGTTTTGAGAGTAGGTCTGTGTAGATCAGGAAAAGAGGTCTGGTTAGTAACAGCTCTTTCTTGATACAACTGCCGTTTGCTTTCCTCTTCTTTAATTTTTTATTACTATAGTCTGTTTCACTTCAAGCAGATGAAGCCAGCTGTGCACTTACCCTCATTAAAGCGTAGGGTAAGGGATGGTCAGATGGTGTTAGTCGAGTCTGTAAATGTGTACTTGAGTTTTTTCACATTCAGAGATGGTATGGAGAAAGAAGATTGAGGTCTTTAGTGAATCTTGGCAAGGGAGCATTCTTAAGGCACTGAATGTTGCCTACTTTTGTTTGCCTGAGGGCAGGGTTTAGAGTTACTAAACAGACTTTAATTCCTTAGTACAAACACATGGATATATAACGCAAGCATTTTGAAAAGAGTAGCATTAAATGGCAGAGGTTTGTAATAGGAGCGTGAATGTGCCTGCCTTCTAGTGGATGGATCACACATAGAAACTTTTTACCTCTTTGCAAGCAAGAGGAACCCATTCCAGTGCTGGCTGTGTGCCTTTGGTGGGGTTGGAGTAACAAAGCACTGGCTTGATACTTGGAGTTAATTCTTCATTCAAAAGAGCAGCTTAAAAAAGTTGAAGTGTTTTCATGTGTTCTTGGGTATGACTCACCTGTTGATTGTCTGTATTTTATTTTTGTCTAACAGATTTTGTGTGTGTGTGTGTGTTTTCTGCGCCCCTGCCCCCCGCAAAGGGTTAATGTCATGTCATTATGTGATTATCTAGGAAAAGTGTTTTGTGGACTTTGTAAATTTTACATTGCCCTTTATTTTTTATTTTCATGTAATTTATTTTCTTGAATATTCTTTCTCATTAGAGACATCTTTGAAAGACTTCTATTCCTAGGGGATGTGTACTTCTAACATAAGTAACTTCCATTTCTTATTTGCTCTTCGTGGTTTATGGTTGGACCTAGTAAGACCTGGATCTCTTTGATAGCTGCCACCAAGTTGCTGCTGATGCATTCAGTTCTGATAGAAACCAGTGATTGTGATCTGGCTGCAAATTCGGAGTTTATAATGCAGACGATTATAAAATTCAATAAAAAGAGCTTTAATATAAGGAATATAAATAATGTTGACTCTGACATGTAGCCGGAAACAGATCTTGGCATTTAAAGAGATGAATCTGCTAGCACAGGCAGTCTTAGCAAGACCAGTTGTTCTCATTGCAGTGTTTTTTGCAGGTCTGAGGTAGGAGTTTGTGAGGTGTATTTTGATTATGCTGCGGATCTTCTGCAGGGAGAATTTTCACTTCTGTCTCAAGTATTACAGAGAAGTCCTCCCCTAGAAATTGCCACACGGACAAAAACTTGTTTCAAGCCAAAGTACAAACCACTGAAATTTTGTGTCACTCTTGCATTGGGAGGCTGGAGACCGCTGATAGCTGCTAGCTAAAAAGGCAGCTGGGTGCTAATGTGCTGGCACCCTGCTCCGTTCACACTGGTACAGGCGCTTTGTTGCAGTGATGCTGTGGCACATGCCTGTTCCGCCAGGATGGTACGGTGTGCCGACTGCTTGAAAAGTGTCTCTGCTTCCCTCCCAGATGAAGCCTTGCAGAACCCTTCCTCTCAAGATGCAGATCATAAAACTGTGTCAGTAAATACTGGAGTGGCATGAAGTTTAGATTACTGCCTGTTTGTTGAGACTTGTTTGGGTTTTTTTCTTTTGAAAATGAAACTCCAATCTCCTTTGTTTCTTCAATTAGAAGAGTCAGTTTAAAATGTCTGAGAATAGGTGATCTACAGTGTTTTCATGTCTATTGAGGTTTTGTGTCACTACAGTAAAACATGATCAGGACCTCCATGTTAATAACCTGTTTGTAAAGCAAGGTACAGCATATGGAGTTCAGTGTGATTTACCATAATTGAGTTTCACATTTGATAGCAAATTTTAGCAGAAACTGAACTGCAGTGGTGGAGGGAATGAAGGTGGAAGTCTTTTCCCAGGTGGACTAACAGAATTGTCTCTAATGTGGCGTAAGCAGGCATACTCTATCAGGAGATGTTACGTTTTCTGTACGTTTGAAATATCCTCAAGGATTTTCCTCCAAATTCCTTTTTGTAGATAAAAGTGCACGCTTGGAATTTGGCATGGTGGTTGTTTTCTTCTGAATGTAGTGAAGGGATAGTGCTGCAAAACTCAATTGCATATTCTATTAATGCTTGTAATAAACAGTGATTGCAAATGTAGTCTCGTTACCTCTTTTGTGTTGCTAGAATTACTGTAAGCCGTTTTAAATAGAACAGAGAAGAAAAACAAGGTGCTGATTCAAGTGTCTGCTTTCAGATGTGGTGTCTGGTATTTTTCTGGCAGGATCCTGGAAGAAGGAAGTGCTTTATACAGTTATTGATAGCTTACTGGGACAGATGTTTAATTTAGTTACGGTTTCTTTTGGATACTTAGAATCCAGAATCATGACTACGTCTCTTGTTGCTATTTTTCCAGTTTAGAAATCCTAATTTTACAATATATTTTTATCCTTTCTCCAATATTTTTTAAAATTGTATTTGTATTATCGCAAGATGGTTTTCTGAAATAGCTACAAACTTCCTCTCTTTTTATGCAAAGTATTGTTGTGCATACTCCTAGAATATCCTTACTTCCCAAAAATCTGTGTTTCCACTTCTACAACACTCTTCTGAAAAGCACATCTTGGTGTGATACACTTACAAAAATAAAAATCTGGATGCAGCCATATTTAAAAAGAAAGTGAACTAAAACCATATTGTCATATTTGTCCTTTTGCAACCGGGGAGACTTTCATGTACAAAAGGACCTGTACATTGTGAGCACCTGTGATGCTATAGCTTGCTTAAAATGTACTTTAAATTGTAAATAGAAGACGTTGGGTTTTTTATCGACACAAAGGGAACTAGCTGGCAACTATTATCATTGTGTGCCAGATCTGTCATAAGACTTTCTATTGAAAAGTGGCTCAGAGATTACTAAAATTGTGTCATTTGACATTTCTGTCTCAGAATCCACATTTCATGCAATCTTCATCTGTTAATTCTTGCACAAAGCATCAAAGAACATTGACATGAAAGAACTGGGTATTGCTTTGAGATTTTCCTTTTGTCTGCTTCTTTCCTTTGATAATGTTCAGGATGCAGTGAACCTCTCTAGCAGGAAAACAGACAAAATGGTAGACAAGCTTCTGTTTAAGTTGAGCTCTATTTGGTGCTCTTCCAGACCTTTGACATTACCAGAATAGTCATGTTAACTGGAAATTGTGGCTTAGCAGGATAAACAAACTATGTTGTTCTAAGAGGAGTCATGTAGACTATGAAATACATTTCTAAAAAGTGTTCAAAAGACTGAATTAGGCTGAAATAAGTTTTTGCTTCACATGTCTTGTCAACCATAGCACCTAATAATTACTAACACCATTATTGTGTTTAGAAGATGCAATGCTTAAAAATTCAGAAGTTTTTTATGACTTAATTCAGAACTGCCTGTAATCCTGTTCTTTGTTGCAGCATTTTGCTGCAACTTTACTTTTCTTCTTATCCTGCACTGCAGTTTCCTTGACCTTTTCCCTCTTCTAGCAAATACCTTTCCCTCCTGTAACAAATGAAAAAGTCCTGCAGACTTATTGCACAGTCCTGTTGCATCAATACTTAAAGTGGTTGAGCACTGGAGCCTTCAGATGCAGCCCACTGACCTCTTGGCAACGTGATAAGCAGCTGAAAATAAAGTTCACCATGGGAGGTGTCCATTGACCTAGATTTGGTGTGCTGAACTCTTCATAATATGTTTCAAAAATGATACTAAGCCAGCAATTTTCTGGCAGTCTAGGTTAAATATAACTTAAAGCAAGCTTAAAATATATGTGGCTTTCTTGTCTAGGGGAGAAGCTAGTATTAAAGTTTTTTTGGTTTGGTGGTTTTTTTTGTTGTTGTTTGTTTGTTTTCGTAAATAATCACCAGTTGGAGAGAAAGTTGGCTGGGTGGGGTAAAAATGCAATTAACTGAATAAAGGTATTTAGCCTTGCTTTGTGTTAGCAACAAAGCTTGTAATTCCTGATTATTTTTTTTTTTTTAATTTTTATTTTCCTTTAAGAAACTCTCAGTTGCTATGTAGTAGGTACTGTGAATTTGATGTGAAGAAGATTTATGTTACCTTGGAAGAATTGTTACTACATTTTGGCCTATTGCATTTTGAAAGGCAGTTTGTATGTATTGTTTTTGACACAAGGTAATAATAGCAGAATAATCAGAGCATTTATTTATGTATATTCGTGATACATAAAATTGAGATATGTTAAAATATAGAATAAGTACTAATATTTTGAGAAAGTGAAATAGAAAATCAACATGAAACAATGACAGCTCACAATTTTAACTATAGATCCTTATAAAACTAGTGTTTTGTATAATGTTGCCAATGAAGTTTTCGAATGTAAAATGGAAACAGTAGCCAGCAAATCACTTAGTAGGTGTTTAAATTTACATATGTGAGTAATCCTGGGTATTTCAACTGGGCAATTCATCTGTCTAAATAGGTGTTGAAGTACTTTGCTGGTTCAGGGATTGGGTAAGTAAAAGAAAAAGCTTTGTATATTTAGGCAGCAAATTAGGAAGAAGCTTTGTGCATATGAGAAATATTTATTCCCTGGCAACAAAGAGGGGTTTAAAAGGAAATCTTTCATTAAAGGGGAAAAAAAAAATCTCAACTAAAACTCACAAAAACAGAAAGTTAAGTTAGTTCCCTGAAGTAATTTTTAAAACATCACCATAACAGCTTAGTGCAAAATCGACAAAGTACGCTGAAGAATTCCTTCCACCGCCCTCCCCTGCCTCACATTATATGAAGGTGTAACGTGTTCCTCATAAGTGGAAACATCATGGGGAAACACAAAATTACTTTGTTGGACATAAATGAATGAGCAATCATGCAGTAATATACGTTCCACTTTTTGACTCACTTAAATATTAACTTCTCTCGAAGTCTTGATTCAGAGATACGTGAAGCCATGTTCGTTTTCTTTTTGAATTAATATGCTCCATTATTGTTGCATTTTATCAGCGACTTTTTAAAATTGCATTTTACAGTCATATTAACTGCACTAACCAGAGATCTAGTTCCATGAGAGACCCTCTTTTTCCTTTTCCTTTTTTTCCTTAAAAAGTAATAAAGTGCCTCTTATTTGCTGGAAATCACCTGGAGTACAATCTATTTAGTATGTTAAGTGCAGGATGATTAGGAGAGAATGTAGCCAAACTTTCTTGGCAGTAAAAGCCTGGGTAATCACATTCAATTTTGAAGCAGGTTTCTTTTTCTTACTCAATTGCAAAATTACCATATAAATTTAAGAACTGTGATTGCAGGACAGGTTGACAGGTTAACATGATCTGATGTTGTGTCCCCTGAGAGCAGAGGTTAAGGGAGCCAATGCAGTGACAGTCCTTAGTGTCTCAAGCTTAAGTGGAGATGCCTCATGAATCCCCACTGTTACCCTGCTGGGACTCAAAACTGCTCAAATGGTGCAGTGGAGTGCAAAGGGAAAGGGAAAGACTAGGTTGCAATGGAATTACTCTTCCATTCTCAGCAACCATATACCTCAGTCTTGTTTTTATGACATTTTTAAATAAGTGTAATATGTAAATCTACAGTCTGTGCATTGCTTAAATGCAGAGATAAACAGATGTTCTGTTTGTTCTTTTTTTAGTGAGTTAGTCTTAAAGCCTCAGTCTGAAGCAAGGCTGTCACTTCAGAATGTATTTAAAGTGTTTTCTGTGCAGTTAGATAGCAGAGTTATTTCGTGATCCTAATTCATGGTTATGGTGTTTAATTTTCCTAGCTCCAGGTTTTTTATAGTATGTGTATTTTTTTTAACAATATAGAGTATGGCAGCCATCTGCAGCTCAGACTTGTACTGAAATAGTAGGGTATATTTTTAATGCTACTCTCTTATTTAGAAATAGTTGGATTTTCTTTGAAGAATCCTCTGTTTATGATATATACAGTGTGTCTGCAATTTAAATCACTAAATACTCAAGGATTCTATGTAATGGCTGTCCCTCGCTGAGGGCATACTGTATGTTGGTATGATTATAGCAGTACAGGTAGAGGTTAGAAATTTCCAGCTGCAAACTTTTTAGGTGTGACTTGTTAGCAAGACAGAAGTCCATCATTTTAAGTAACGAAAAGGGAGGACATGGCAGATTTTGCTTCCTCTTAAATTAAACTAGTGTTTCTTCTGGAACAAAACAGAGCTGTGTTTTGTAGAGGTGGGCGTCCATAAGTACAGCAGCCTGTGGAGGAGAGACTTTGAGGAAGGACAGGGAGTAAGGGAGTGCAGAGGGAATGCTGCTGTGTGCGAATCATTACTAATCTTTGTGTCTCTTGTTCAATCATTTTAGATGCTGAACCCCGACTTCACCACTGCTTGGAATGTGAGGTATGTTGCCCTCAGTGAATGACATCAGAAAGACCTGGGCCTTATGTGCTAGTCAGCTGTAAGCTTTAAGTGGTAATTAGTGACACAGCAAGAGCTTTTCAGCTAAGGAGTGCTGAAGGAATGTTAAGAATCCCTTCTATCCTCTATGTCTTGCAGATGGTTTCAGACTGCCTTTTTTTCCTTGCCTTTTTTTTTTGTTGTTATAGTGCAGGCTAACGATTACACTGCTGCATGGGAAGGCACATGTTTGGCCCACGTTTTGGGCGGGATATAAGTCCCACTGAACTGCCACTACTCTTTCCTTCTGTCAGTTAAGGAAGGCCATTTGTAACCTTTAGATGGGCATATCCTTTTCGTTGAGTCACGTAGTGCCCAGCTCACGTCTGCTGTTTGTCTTCGCTGTTTTCATTTTATCCCTCTTTGCATATTATACCTGAGTCCTTTTGAGATAACAGTTCAATTTGCTGCCATTAGCAGTGTAGCCCATCAAAGCTGAATAGCCCTCAATAGATACACTGCAAGAGAAGGGGAGGAAGGTGGCTATCCTTTAATCCAGAGACATTCTCCCACACCCTGCTCCTTTCTTGTACCTGGTGGGATTAGTCTAGCTTCACCATTGGTCATGCTGCAGCACCTGTCCAGGAGTCATTATGGAGGAAGAGCAGGAATTTACCTCCGTACTCTTAATGGAGCCCAGAAGCAACAGTTCTTTACAACCCTGCAATCTGGTAATGTTTGTGTAAATCTCAGAGGTGGAGGAATATTCTCTTTCTGCTGCCTCTGTAAGACCAGAGACAGTCTTAAAGGAATAGTTTTAGAAGGGCTGGAAGGCTGACGGAAAATTGTATGTTAGTGTCTGGCAGGGCTTTCATTAAAAAGAGGACTTTTGTAGCTAAGATGCATTATTGCAGTAGGAAAAATTAACAAAATGATCTAGAAAGATGATGGCTGCAGGTAGCTGTCAGCCCTAGATATGGCAAATTCAGCTTTCTTTCCCCCCTCCCCCCCCTTCCTTTTCTTTCTTCTTTCACTGCTGCTGTAGTTCTGAAGGATTCTGCTGTGATCTGTGTCTTTCTAGCATCTCAGGTCTAAGAAAGGGGGATGACAGTGATAGCAAAGGGCTTACTGTCATGAAAATGTATAGCTTGAGTAGCTTTCAAGTGATAAAATGGAATTAGGAGCATGTATAAGTACTAGAGCTACTGCAGTAATGTAATCTTGTGGTACTTAAAACTGAATTCAGGTTTTTGTCTTAGGTTTTGTGGATTTTTTTTTTTTAATGCAAATGTGTCCATCCTTATCAGTCTGGCTTTTTTTCTGCCTGACAGCTGTAAGAGTTTGTTCTTATGTACATGCGAGGAGTAGTTGCAAGTTGTAACGGGAATTAAAAATGTTAAGGAATATAGATGAGGATTGTTTTCTCTTTTAGGACATGTATGGTTTACCAAAGTATACAAATTACTACAGAAGGTGGCCTTGCTCCCCATATTCTTGGCCAGTGGCCTGGTTGGCGGTCTGTCTTTGAAGCTCTGTTTAGCATTCAGAGAGAAGCTGTTGTTATACCAGCCAGTCCGTAGCTGTGGAGTTTACCACCGAGCCTGCTCTAGCCAAGGGACTGCTTTGCTGAATCTGACTGTACGTTGTTTTAGGCTGCTGCTGGGAGTTTGCTTTTTTGAAGGGTAGGCACTTAATTGGCACAACATTTCAGCTTCTATTCGGTGAAATTCCTACTTCAGTAAATTACAGGTCAAGCTAGCCAGATGTGTGGCATATATAGTCATAGAGTAGAGGACAGACTGTGTTCTGCACAGATGCTGGTGGTAAATCCTTATTCTAAGCTAGTATAAGCTGGGAACTAATTGTGTGGGACTTGCACTCTGCTAACGGAACATGATGAGTCTGCTGCAAGATTATTGTTTTCATCTTGGTCAGAGGATGTTTGTCGCACCAGATTCATCTTACATTCTCCACACACAAATTCACTGCTTTATTTTAAGGGAAAAAAGCATCATAGACTCTAAGTAGCCTAAAAAATAAAAGGTGTAATAGTTATTTACCGAATAGCAGCCCTGCACTGTAGAATTTAATGACTTTCATTTTAGGCTGGTATAATCCCTCTTTCCTATATTGAATTGCTGAGAGCTTCAGAGATAGTGGTTGACTCAATACCACTGAATTTGAAGATACAGGAAGAGGGTTGTTTGAGAGTGGGGAAAAGGAAATCTCTTCCTTGGAAAGCAGACAGGACTTGGCAGAGCAAGGAGACTGGAGTGGTGGTGTGGAAGGCTAATGAGCATTTTGGCTCAGCTGACGATCATAGAAGATTGTATCTGGGTAATGAAGCACAGGAGAACATAAAACTTCAACTGTTACCTGCTAGGAAAAGATAGGTAACCTATCTTGATGTTGGAGCTGTTCTGAACAATTGTAATATGCCTGCATAGGTTTGTCTTTTATTTATTTATTTTAATTGGAAGTGACTGGGAAGCTACAGAAGGGCAAGGACTATAACGTGAACCGTGAGAACTGAGCAAGAGCTAATTGTATGGTGTAGGAAGGCATGCTAAAGAATAGGAGACATGTTGCTTCTTAGAAGTCAGAGGGAAATCCTTGTTATACTGAATGGGCAACAAGACATCTCCAGTTGTTAATCATAATTTCAGTTATCCTGTGTTTTTAGAAGTTGAAAAATCTTTCAAGTTAAAATAACCAAAACCTTTATGTAAGTGATTGTAAAGGATTTGTCATAGGTGGTTTTGTTCTTACTGGTACACTTGCTGGCACGTACAATTGATCAAAAGTCAAAAGACATTAGGTAACAAGACGCTCTGAAAAGTCAACTTTTTCCTATCAGATATGAAAGACTTCAAAGGTGTCAGCAAAAACATAAGGCAAGTCAAAATCATTTCAGATTATCTTTTATGGGAGCTAGAATTCTGAAGGCTGAAAAATTACCTATGGTCCACATGGCAAAAAAGTGAGGTAGAAATCATATATCCCAAGCTGGATATTTGCTGAAAGAGCTTGGAGGAGGTTTATTTGGGAGTATGTGATACTTTAGTCATACTTGTGATTGGAGTCCCTTACTTGTGGATGGGAGGATCTCTCATTTGAAAACCTATGAAGCTTAAAACTGCTTTTCTACCACAGCAGTGAATCTTGTCTGTAATGTTCCTCAACTTTGCAAAAGAGTAAATTTAAGAGTAAATATGTGTGAGCCCACTTATTTACAGTTAGTGCTTTAATATAGAAAGAGCAATTTCTTCACCAGGAATTTAGGTTTTGGGAGGTAGGTGGCCTGGTAGTCTAAATCTTTGTTAAATATGTACCTGCATTTGTTTCGAGTGTTAGACTGATCTAGACTGTTTTTTCATGGTCCATGTGGTAAGTGATATTTACCAAAATGTCACTTTTTGCATTGCAGTAATGGGGCAATTATTCCACCTGCTCCAGTGTTGACATTCCCTGAATCTTTCTCTTGTCTGCTTTGCAACAGTGAACACACTGGCACCCAACAGTCTGGTCAGTCTGCCGCTCCTGGCTGGTATACCTGGATTTCCTGTTGAGCACCTGCTAAAAGCATCCAATCCAAAGCATGTTGGAACTTGGTTCAGATAAAAACAAATGTCCCAGTAGCTATGTTTCTGATTTCTGTAGACAGTTCTCTACTGACTTCACTAGATATGAGGAGCAAAACTTCCTTGAGAATTTATTCAGCTGTTGGTTCGGTAGCAAAAGAAGGGTCTAGGCTAGTGCCTAGATGTATACATCTCACCATTTTTCTTGAATTTGAAATAATGTGTTGTGTGCTGTTAGTGTTGCCACCATTAGCTGCGGGTATACAGTTCAGTTAAAGCAACACAAAGCCAACCTACCAGGTGGAGTTAGTTTCCTACTGAAAACTTCCAAAACAGACAGAAAATGACAATAAGTGCTCACATTAAAGGAATATGTGAATTTGTGAGACTCGGGCCATAACTTTAAAACCACATAATCTGTTCTGTGCCAGACTGCAGAGAAATTTTACCTTCTTACTGGATAGCAGCTTTTTTTAGAGTGTATTTCCTACCTGTCCCCTTCCCGTTTTTGGGTGGTTTGGTTTTGGTCAGAAAATTGATAATCTGCTCTCCACCTACTAGTGCTCTTCTTGCTGAATCTGGTGCCATGTATATATTTATGATGAGCTATAAATTATAAAAACAAAACCAAACAAACTCACAACTCAAAACAAAAAAAAAGAAAACCCACACCAAACCCATGCCAAAATTACTTCTACTTTTTGTGCTCTCAGTTTTTAATTGTGACTTCTGGAGGTTCTGGGATATGCCCGTTTCCTGTCTGCAAATGGTAACTTTGGAACTTACTGTATCTTTATTTCAAAGCTGCTATCTACTAGATTGGAGAATAGGATATGGAGACTTAATGTCCTGGGAGTAACTGGTGATGGGGTCATGACTACAAACATGCTCAGGACAGTCAGTAAGAGTTACAAAGCTAGAAAGAGAATAAGGTATGGGTCAGGGAACTCTGTGCAAAGAAGGCAAGAAGAATAAATACAGACTTTCACTTTGCTCTGTCTGTGTCAGAGGTACTCTGGGAAGGGTTACCTTGGATGAACATGAAGTTTTGTTAGGGCAAATTCTTTTATTTTTTTAAACCAAAAGTTGTTCTACACGTAAGGAAATTTAGCAATTTCTGCCTTTCTTTTAAGTTTGAAAAACATTCTACACATACAGAATATTTTCTACTTCTTTCTAAATTTAGGGATCCTTGATACTCTGTCTTGAGCCATATTTGAAAACGAAAAGTAAGCGTGTGTAGGGAGAGAGGCTCTGTGGAAGAGTAACTGTATTTTCTGATGTACGGAATGGTCTAAGGGCTTGATTACAAGAAGGAATGATCAGCCATATATGTAACCCTATTGGCAGCCCTTGTATCAAAGACAAAAATAAAAGAAAAAAGCTGCTTGTGTTAAGATTGTTCTCAACAGGCATTATGTATAGCCCAAACTCCTTGGCTTTCTAATTAGTGACAGAAAATGTGATGGAGAGCCACACTTAAATATGGTTGACTCAGTGATTTCTGTGTAGGTTTGGGAACCAATGGGTTGTATGTGTTCAGATTAAGATGAAGTTCTTTGATCTGTACTTACTTCATTGGGCCTGGTCGAAAAGGGTGCACATATATATAGCAGAGTGGAATGGGTTAATGCACCAAAGGCTTTTTAAACTCTTGTAGTTTGACAGTGAAGTTCTGTTATAATACAAAGGAAATGCCATGCTATTTGTTATTGGGATTTCTGTTCTGTCTTCAGGTTACTACTTTCATTCATACAAATTTATTTTATCTTTTGTAGGAAAGAATTAATACTGTCTGGCACTTTAAATCCGCTTAAAGATTTGCATCTTGGAAAACTGGCATTAACCAAGTTTCCAAAGAGTCCGGAAACATGGATTCACAGGTTTGTTTCCCTTACCTTCTGTTGCCTCCCCAAACTTAAACGTTTTTCCTCGTGTTTTTTTTCCTGCACTTGGGTTAAGGAGAGCCATCAATGAAGAAGGACATCTAGAAATATAGCAGATTCTTTGAACCAGACATTGTAAAATGCCGTGCTTTGGCTTTTGAAGATACATGCCTATATTTTATATTTAGAATTAAAATCATATGCACCTTTTTTGCTGCATATTTTTTTATTAAACTTTGGAGGTGGGGTAAATTTTCCTAAAGGTTTATCATGTCTTGCAGCACCTAAAATTCTCAGCCTGAGAATTCTGATTCCATTCAATAGTAAGTATTTGAGCATTGTGGGTTTCTCCCTCTTTCCTTCCTCCAACTTACTACTTATTGCTTGCCTACAGGCATTTCAGAAAGACAAGAACCTGTAAAAGCTAATCTTCATAACCAAAGTTGGGTTCTTTTGTATTCCAATACTGGTCTTTTTGGTGAATTTATTTTTACCATTGATGACTTAAGCAATGTCATTTAGTCGCCACTACTAAATATTAAAATAACAGAGCACATTTTTGGAAAAGATAACTCCAGAATTTCTCAAATGCACAAAGCTACCCATCTCAGTCATGACTGAGTGTATGTAAAATGCCTGTAGCACAGCCAAGTGATGTATAGATCCATTGCTCAACTTTGTTTTAAAAAAAAAAAAAATCTTGCTCTGTGTGTGATTTTTTCATGATGTATTTTTCACAGGATAACTCGACTTTTTATAGACAGCCTTAAAGACATTTGATTGTAACACATTAGAAAGCAGTTCGCAATGTTTGCATTTCACATGTCGAGCATTAGGACAACCGTAAAGTTGATACTCCATGAGGGGGATTCATACTCTTACCAAAAACATAAATAAAGCTTCAGTCATACTGATAACATAGGAATTTTTGGAAGAGGGAGTTGTTGGTAAACTCTTCTTTTTGAGTGCATGAGCTTAAAATTCTCAAAGTTAACCTAGAATGTAATACATAGAATATTCCTAGGCATTTCTTAACTTATAAGCATCTGCTTAATTTCTGTTAATTTCTTTCTTAGTAGCATTGATATAGCAACAACACGGATGAATTTGTGCAATGTTTGTTTTTGATGTTGTTGTTCAACTATTTTTCATAATCTCCATGCTACTGACTCATGTTTGAAAAAGGAAGTATGTAGAAATAATGGGAAAAAATCTTGCAGTTTCTCATGGTTTAGCCTTTCCTACATGATAGCTAAAACTGGAAAACTGTGATTATTTGCATGTAACTAGTGCTGAACCTGGTGCCATCCATATCATTATGATGATCAATACATTTTTATTAAATTAGTCAGAATGGTAGGTTCTTAATATTTATTTACATCTTAGAAATAATAAAAATTTCTGTCTACCACTTCTATGCAATCTTAAATTAGGAGTATTTTAATAGCATTATGATTTGTTCTTTCTCTTATTTGCTTAACACAGTAAAATGTATTTCAGAATGATTGCACGAATGTTTTGCTTGGATTTGGATGTGCTGACCATGATTGATAAATGTTAGAAAATAAGATGTGCAAAAATTTTCTTTCTGCATCAGCATAGTCATTAATCTTGTGTTTTCTGTTCCTCTGTGATACCAAATTTCAGACAGAATTGCAAAAAAATAGAATGGGGCAACTATAAAATTCAGTAAAACATACCCAGTTGTTTTTTTTCTTACATATGGCAGATACATTCACTAAAGATATCAAAATACTTGTCATACATTTTGCCGTGTGACCTGTTGCTATATGTTTTGAGGGGTTTCACGTAGATCTTGTGTATATACAGTCAGTATATCTGCTAATTGCACAATTGTCACTGAATAATCCTACATTCATTTGCGGAAATTCCAGGAACTGTAATAGTAATAGGAACATGCATACAGTGACAGAAGAAATTGGATTTCTTTTCTCCAAATTTACTGGAGAAAATGTTCTCTTAAAAACCTCCAAAACAATGCCATGATATTCAACAGGTACCAAAAATACATTCTAAATCTTCTGAGGTTGTGCTTGTCTGTCTTTCCCATGAAAAAAGTCTAGAACGTAGCTCAGATTTAATTTTTTAATTTTTTTCTTTTGTTGTAGCCACAGAGACTATAAAGTCTGTATTTTTTCACATGCTCCGGTATATGTAATTTACCTGTACTCCTAATTTTATAAAAAAATAGTCATTTTAAGAAACTGAAATAATTTTAGGATCAAAATAATTTGTCTTTTTATGATTTTACTCTCAGAAGTCAATGTTAATGAAATAATATTTATCTTTTGTTAAAGGAATGACTCTACTCATTTAGGTCTCATGCCTAGACGTTTTTAGAATTTCCCATTTCTTGCAAATCTGCTGATTGAAGTGAAAAAATACTAGATGGCGGTATAAGGAAGGCCAGTGTATGAACACTGGCTTCAATCCACTGCTCACAATGTAAATTAAAAAAAATACCAGTGAACAAGAATATTATAAAAGTTTTCAAATTAGAGAAAAGAACAGATGGATGACCAAATTTTTTTAAGTGGTTGGCTTATCTATTTATATATGTATAAATATATGCAATATATATATGCAATTTTATATATGAATTACAAAATAGAATTCTCTTTTTAAAGAAAATCAATTTATTATTTTAATTTTATTTATTGATTTCCCTTAACCAGGAGTGACACCTTTCTGAAAGTAGTGCTTAATTGGTTTCGGAACCAATGTGAGCCAGTACAAAACAGAAAAACCTCTGTGTCGCAGACTGGAGGATGCCCAGCTTTCCAGAGCATTCCACATGGGCACATTGCAGTTCTCTTGACACATGCTGCTGCGTGGAAGTCTAGACGTCTGCGATCCTTTTTTGTAGGACCCCTTTGTGTAGGGTCTGCAGATGCATGTTTTCTGCAGCATTGAGGACACCTCAAAATACTCATCTAAAAATACTACTAAAACACAACTGGAAGTCAGTCCAAAGTAAAATTAAAAAGCCATGTAGGAATCTGTGCTTATCTCAGTCACTTCAAATCAAATATGTGTAATTCGGCAGTAAAAGCATTTGTTTTGGTTATACCTGTAGCCCTTGAAACGATAAGTCTTTTGCACTTTCTTTCTGCTGGTGAGGTACAGAAGCTAATTTGGCTTGCTGTGTGCTGTACTGACAAATGTGAAAAATGCTCACTCACAACACACAGTTAAATTTTTTTTTAATCACTTTTTTCTGTCTCATTTTGGATACTTTGGTTTAGTGCTATACAAGTCTCTGAAAGCAGAGCTCATGAGAAATCTCATGCAGACAGTTCTTGCATTTTTTTTCATAAATTTGCTGTTTCCTTCTTTTTTCTTTTAGTATGCTGTAAGTAGCCATGACCACTTACAGTGAGTGAAGAAACAAATACAGCTAAAGTTAAATTATTTTAAGGTGTGATCATTAAGTCATAGCTTTCAGTATAGGAAGAATTCAGATGGTTAAGTTTACTACTTATTCATAATCTAGTTACAGTGTAGTTCAGATAATTGAAATATCAGAAAGGTTTGATTGATTTATATATATGAAAAAACATTTTTTTCTCTTAAAATTGCTTTCTCACCGTTAACACTGTACATCGTTTAACCAGACGATGGGTGCTGCAACAGCTAATTCAGGAAAACTCCTTGCCCAGTCTTGTGACTAAAGGAAACTTGGGAGCAGCACCTGTGGAGAGAATTCACCGACTAGTGCAGGAGGAAATGAATGTCTGCTCTGAAGCTGCTGGGAGATATCCAAGCAACTACAATGCCTGGTCCCATCGCATCTGGGTTTTACAGCATTTGGGAAAGCTGACTGTCAAGGTATAATACAATAATGAATAAAGTCTTAAAATTCTTTGTCTAAAAGAATTGGTTTGCCAAGCAGATCCGATGACATGGATGGAGAATATCATATTAAGTTAGCACAAGTAGCTAAGAATGTTTTAAAAAAAACAGGCAAAATATTGCAATGAGTATGTTTTGCATTTTTCTTGCCAGTGTAGGCAGGTTCTGCTGAGCAGAAAGAACAGATTTTTTTTCTTGCCCGTGTACAAAGTTCTGTTTGTCTGTTGGTACTTGGTGTTAATGAACTTTTGGAGGGAGCAGAGATGGGGCTGTGTGAGCTGAAATAAAGAAGGGGCAACTGAAGATAGTTCTTCTAGCGCTAATCTTGAAATTCCTAATAAAGAGAAAGATAATACATGACAAATATTGTTTTGATAATGTAATGTGATGTCTTATTTTGATACCCTTATTCAGGGTATATATATCTGTGGTTTCAGCATATTGAAGGATTAGGT